AAAAAGAATAAAATGTAGATTATGTACACTTGAATAAAAGAAAATATATTTTTATACTTGCAAGCTGGCTATTGGTCTGCATTCAATACTGAAAAATATAAGTTGTAAAAGACCAGTCATTTGACCGGCCGCGGTAGGAATAGGTATACGTGAAGTGTCGGTAGGAATAGTGTTAATATCTCAAAAATATGCCCGTTAATTTTTAGAATGAAAATCACATTATTTATCGATTAAAAATTCATTAAAGTGCTCCGTCTCAACTCGGCGCTAGACGTGAATGCTAAACTTTGAACGCGTTTTTCTCAAAACGACTTTTTTCAAACTGACGTGCAAGATAACTCAAAAAGTTCTCAACCGATTCTTATGAACTTTTGCACACATTTTCTTTATATAATAGTATTAGCTTCTAGTTGAATTTTAAAAATGCTACAAAAATTTTCTTAAATTGCCATCCTGACCCAAAAACCGTCAGAAGAAAGGGTCAAAAATCGGACTTAAAGATACATGTTTTATAAAAACGCTCCAACCCTTTTTTTTATTCCAAATTGCTGTAACTGAAGCTAAAAATCAGGCTTATTGATGCCTTTCGCCGCGAGGGCCTCAGGAGATTGGTTACTACAGCGGTCATTTTGAAAAAAAAAAAAATTTTTTTAAATTTGAATTCTTATATTTTAATATGCAATGAACAAACGTGCTGAGTTTCAAAACGATTCATTTATTCCTTCCATTTTAAATAGGCCTCTGAAAAACAGTCAAAATTTAGACGTTTATATGTATCGCCGACCTTAAAGGTTTCTATAAATATGTTTGAAATGTTTTTGACATATTTTTCATAATATTTTAAAAAATTTTTTTGAAATATTGTGTAAAATCTTTGCAAAATTATTCTGCAAGGCTTTATAGAAATATTTTTTCATCAAGTTCGTGCAAAAAATATTTATTTAAAATATTTTAGAAATCTTTCCAAAACATCGCAAAAAATTTCAAGAAAGTGTTTCAAAATGTTTTGAAAAATATAATATAAAAGGTTGCTACAAGATTTATAAAACGTTTTGAGAAAATGATTAAAAGAAAACTTTTAACACTAGATAACTGTTAATTATATACCTATTTTTACTGTGAAGTGAGCCAATTTGACTCATACAAGAAAATTAAAGTTTTTCGCAAAGAAAATAGTTCCAAATCAATTTAAATGAAATGTTTATTATCAAAAAATATGGAAAACATTTTTTACATATAAACTCTTTTTTTAAAACACATTTTTCGCAAACATTTCTATTACATTTAGCACAATGGTTTCTACATCTGTTTCTTTTGCATGATTGTTGAACTTGACAATTCAACTCGTCAATTTCTGTCATTGGAATGGAAGTGTTCTCGACTTCTTCTCTATATTTACTTCTTAGTTCTTCAACCAATTGGAAAATAAAATCTTTTCGTGAAATATTTACTTAAGTTGTCTCTTTATACAGAATCCAAGCATTGATAGCTGCTAAATCTAAAATGTTGTAGAAAACTTGTAGAGGCTATCTGCGTGAACTTGCTTTAACGCTATATTTTTGGGCCATTTGGTGTCAAGTATATCAACGCCATACTTGGTACTATTATAATAGGTTACTGTTTCTGGAACAAATTTTTTATTTTTTTCAATTGTTATATTTTTATGTTTTGTACTTAGTAATAAAACTTTTTTATTAGGCTTGCTTTTATAAATGATCAGGATACAATTCTCAGATCTATACAGTTTTGTAAAAAACTGTGTCATTTTATCTTTCTTGGCTTTCGCAATTTTAGGTAATTCTTTTCGGTTTGCACGTATAGTGCCAACCAAAGTAATTTTCTTTGCAAGTAACTTTTTTGCAAGTGAAATGTTAGTAAAAAAATTATCTGTGGTAATATTTCGTCCACAGCCTAAATATGACTCTGCAAGCTTAATTACTACAAATTCGCTCAAGGGAACGTTTAATCCTCGGGTTTCATCCTTGCCCAAGTATGGAAAACCGTTTATAAGATATTTGCATCTAACATCGAATGTCAGCCAAAATTTGATGCCGAATTTATCCGGCTTATTCGGCATGTACTGCGTAAATCGGTATCTAGCTTTAGTAGGGAATAATTGCTCATCGATCGTTATGTTTGCGTCAGGTTTGTAACAARCCTGACTATTCTCTATAAATTTTTCCCATATTTTTGAAATCAAGGCAAATTTGTCTGTCTTCAGTCTTTCACTGCGTTCATTTTTTTTTATCAAAACGTATAAACCGAAGTATGTCTATAAATTTATCTCTAGACATTGTCTGGACGAAAAAGCCGGATCCCACTTCGCGCACCACAAATATGAACACTTCAAATTTTTTGCCTCATATGCTCCTCTAGCAAATACAATTGCTACAAAGGCCCACAATTGTGATTTTGTAACCGTCCATTTCTTATTATTCAAAACTTGACGAGCTTCGAGTTCGGGGTACATGATTTTATATACGCCATCATACCTTAATCAATTATCAAATTGAATGCGCTACTTGCCGAACCAAGCATAATATGCCTTTTAGCATAGGCAGTTGGACCAGAAACGTCTTTGAATATGCTATAAATCGGTGATCTACCTATGTTTCTGCCTTCGTTCAATGTTTCCCATAAAGTCCCATCAGCAGTTTTTTCGGCTGAAATTTCTTTATCAGAAGATGTATCGATAGCGTTTAAATCATTTTCGGTTTCAGAATCAGAAATAACTCTAGCCCTTTTTTACTAGGAGCTGTGTAACGAAAAACTTCATCGTCGCTTTCGATTTCAGGATCAGAAATAACCCTGGCTCTTTTTTTGTTAGGAGCTATATAACAAAGATCTTCATCTTCACTGCTTGAAGATTCAATTTTATTGACTTCCTCCTCTAATTCAATTTCGTTATCACAATGGTCTATATCAATTGCATCCGATTCATTATCTGATTGGTCTTTCTTTATTTTGATTAGTTTTTTCAACAAAAAACAATTTTTCTGATTTCTTCCCATAATAGAAACCCTAGATAACCAGATAAAATATCAATTGTAATACCTTCTACAAATAAATTACAAAATTACCTTTGTGGAATAAATTTTTTTGGCATAAAATGAATTTTATAAAATTATAAATTATATATTACTTCACTGCACTGCTCACATGCGATGTATAAATCGAAATGATGACAGAAGTAGGTAATAATGTAGCGAAGTAGCGAAAACAAGTGACAATGGTTCTCACATACTTACAAATATAGGGATTGAGAAAGATGACTTTGACGGCACCTGCTGGGAAAAATGTAAAGCAAAGTGATGGCAAGTGCTATACAAAATAATAGCAAATTCATTAAATAATTTATTTTTTTAATCTGATTGAAGTAAATTTCGGTAATGTCTTCTTCAAAAGTATCTTGTTGTATCCGTGGATGTTCCAATATACCATATAAAAACAAAAACCAAAATTCAAGAGTTAAATTTTATCGTTTCCCTGCAAGTACTCTGAATTCAGAGTGGATAATCCATAAACGTGAACAATGGATAAATGCAGTGAAAAACTATGTGTAAGTAAATTATTTTAATAAAAAAATTAAATTAATCACGATCAAATTTAAAAAGCTAAGTAGTATAAAATAGAATATTAAAYTATATAATGATTATTTTATAAAATAAATGAAATAGTACTAGGGAAAAGTAAAATTAAAAAAATTTTTTTTTAGGAAATATCCAACTGATTGGGAGCCAACTAAAAACACTCGAATTTGTAGTGCTCATTTTATAAATAATCAGAAGTCTGAACATCCTCGGCATCCTTCATACACACCAACAATTTTTCCTGGTAAAGTAAATACAAAAAACTCAACTCAATCAGTTGAACGTTTCGAACGATTACGACAAAGGAATTTACGGAGTGAAATGAATATCTTTAATAATAAAAATAATAATAACAATAATAGTAATAATAATATAAGTGAAATTGAAATTGAAGATGATAATAACTGGGTAGATGTTGAAACACAGAGTGTAGAAGATCATTGTGCATTTGATGATACTCCAAAAAAAAACAACTCTTAGTATTACATGTCAAACTAATGAAATTGTTGATGAAAGTGTTTTAGATGAACATAAATATTTTTTTTGTAATATAAATTCCTGTGATGGTGTAAGTACTGCTGAAGTACAAGTAAACATTCCAATTAAAAGAACAGCTGAAAAAATTTGTTATGTTAATTTGCCGCCTTTACACAAGAACGTTGAAGATGTTGGGTGTGATCCAATTGCTCCAGATTCTATTAAATCTGATTGTCCAGGTTTCCATGGAATTACTTCTATTCATGATGACCAATCCTTAAGCASTTTAACCGGTGTTAATTTTTCAATATTTGCACTTTTATTGAATATGCTTCCTGACATAAAATCTACCAAAATAGATAAAAAAACAAAATTACTTATCACTTTGACAAAATTGAAGACTGGTCTGACATTTACAGCACTAGGAATACTATTCAGCATTCACAGAACTTCAGCACAAAAAATATTTATCAGGAACTTACAACAACTCAATATTTTATTGAAAAATTTTATAGTTTGGCCTTCGAGAGCTACTCTACAAGCAACTCTACCAGAAGCTTTCAAAAAAAATTACCCTGCAACACGCGTGATTATCGATTGCACTGAAGTGTATACAGAACAACCGCCGGAAGTAAGACAGAAAGTTTTCATGTACTCGGACTATAAACATCATCAAACAGTGAAATTCTTGGTTGGGTGTGCTCCAAACGGAGTGATAACTTTTGTATCTAAGTGCTACGGTGGTCGTTCTAGTGACTGTTACATTACGAACGATTGTGGGATATTAGATTTAATAGAACCTGGTGACGTTGTTCTTGCTGATAAAGGTTTTCCTCAAATTCAAACCGAAGTTGAAAAAAAAAATGCTATCTTCATTATGCCTCCTTTTGCACATGATGGACAATTTACAGCTGAAGAAGTTAACAAAACCTATAATATTGCTTCAGTCAGAATTCATATTGAAAGAGTGAACCAAAGAATCAAAGATTTCAATATTTTTACAAAAATACCAATATCTTTACTTCCTCATGTTGATGAAATTGTTTTTGTAATCTGCAGTTTAATAAATATTTCCT